TATCTTAGAGCAAACCAGTCAGGAAGTATTGGGCAGCAGGAGAAAGGGTAGAGAGGGGAGTGCTCCCCAGTGTCTGTGGGGCTCCCAATGGCATCAGCTTCCTACATCCCAGGACTGCCGCCTTCCTTTTGCATGGATACATGTGACAGCAGGTAGAACCATGTCCTGCCAAGTTGAATTTTAAGTGACTTTTTTGTTCTAATGATCTCTAAGACAGTGACAACTCTCAGGCACCCAGGGATAAATGTATTATTAGCGCTGTGTTCATCGTCAAGTGGATGAGCTGGGTTGTATTCATTTGATTTTATGCTCTTTCCCTTTAGATTAAAATACGTGAAGGTCTCATTGCCGTATCTGAGCAAGGTAAGACTGACACTCCAGCGGGTTTGCCCCACCTCCCTGCTCTTGGGGATGGGTGTGTACATTCACTAACAGCCTCCTTCCCTGGCTAACACCTCCTCGTGGGCACGTGCCCTCCTGTTCCTTCTGTTCCCACCTCCCCTCCCAAGGTCCCCTGCCCTGGGCCCTGCCCCTGCGTGTCTGTACTGCCCGGGAACCCAGCCTCGCCTTTTCTCCGCTCCTGCGCTCTGGGCGGAATCCGACACCAACACCTGCCATCCCGGAAGATGTCTTTGTTGCCCGGCCCATTGTGTGCGGAGCCTGGGGAGCTAGTGGACCGGGAACCGCCTTCTGTTTTTGTTGCTGGCGCGCAGGGAGGAGCAAGATCTTGAGATGGGCCGATAAGACCCTGCACACGTGCTGGGCGGCCTTTGACTGGCTGCCTTCATAGGAGCCTCTGCATGGGAAGGCCATGGTCCAGGCGGCTGATGAATGGAACAGCTGGGGGAGGAAGAGCAGACAAAAGCCGGAGAGCACAGAGGGTGGAGAACCAAGGAATCTTGAGGTTTATGACCCAGAGGGCAGGCCAGGCCTGGGGGCAGGTGTGCCCTCCTCAGTGGGCCTCCGCTTTCTGCCTTGGGTCTAGGGTCCAGGCCCTTCCCTTGTGCACTGGCAGTCAGCAGCCCCATCCAAGGGTCCAGTGCTGGCTGAACTCCCTCTGTGTGGCCTGGGCTGTGGGCAAACAGGTGGGAGGGAGACTAAAGGGTGACAACAATAATGTGGGCAACATCAGTGAGCAAGCTGTCGTTTATTTGTTTTTAATATATTTTTGTTGATTTCAGAGAGGATAGGAAGGGAGATAGAAATATTATAGAAACATCAATTGGGAGAAAGAATCATTGGTCAGCTGCCTCCAGCACACCCCTCACTGGAGATCAAGGCCAAAACCCGGGCATGTGCCTGACCAGGAATCAAACGGGGATCTCCTGGTTCATAGGTTGATGCTCAACCACTGAGACACACTGGCCAAGCCAAGCTGTCTTATTAACAGTATTGCCCACAGTGGGACACATGGCACAGACTCCAATCACTGTGTCAGTAAATATGGAAGTTGGAAGTTCTGGTCCAGGTTTTTTGTTACACCTGTGGGGCCAGACGAGCAGCACTGCCACCACGAGCTGACCCTCCAGCTTAGCTGTCCTTCTCTCCTCGCAGCCAGGGCTTCGGCCCAGTCCAGGGGCTGTTGAAACAAAACTGGCTTGCTCACCTCAGGTTCTGGAGGCAACAAGAGCCACAATATTCAGGTGCTCACATCTGGCAGGGCAGAGCAAGGCAGTACAAAAGCCTGGGGGCTTCATGCAAAAATTTTGATTTCTTGGAACCACCATATCCGTGCATGTCCTCCTGCTTCTGACACGGAAGTGTTGAGTGGGGCTCCAGTGCCTTTGAAGCCCCGGCTTCCCGCAGGAGGGAGGGGCCAAGTGCATGGCATTGTCTCCCCTGTGACCCACCCTGGTCCTTCCACAGCTGCCGCCCCGCACACACACACACCTATCCCCATTATTCACGGGGTTGCAGTGGTCATGGCTGGAGCCAGCACGGGCTGAGGATGCATCCAGAAAGGTGGGGACTGGAGAATGCAGGGGGCGCTGTGGTGCTGGCTCCAGCTGGGGAGTGGCCTTCCCTTTTCCTGGGCGGTTAGGGCCACTGTTTTCAGACAGAGGCTGGCAGCCACTTTGCCCAGAGCCCACGCAGGTCCTCAGAGCTGGCATCACTGCCCACCTGCGGCCTCCCTGGGTGGCTGTGGAGGGGTTCGATATTTCCTCTTTCCTTAATGTCCTATCTTCTTTGAATAGCTCTTGCTTTCATTCACTTGCTCTTTTTTTCTCCCCTCTCACAATTGATCTGATCACAATAGTGGGTGGGGTGGTTCCCAGTTGGTAATGTGAAGTGTTAGGCAATTTGAATGTTGGGTAATTCAAAACGAAATGCTACCTGGGATTAAATCAGGTATGTTTGCCTCCCTTCCCTACCTCCCTCCTCCCCCATTTTGAATGCTGGCACCTCCCCTTCGGCTACAAGGGTTCAAAGAGATGCCTGTCACCAATGCCACCGATGACAGTATAGCTGCATCGCCTTTGTCAAAAGCAGCCTGTTTTTAAAGATGAAAATGGGAGGAGGCCCAGGATGTTTCCTGTCTGTGCCGAGCTCGGACATGAAGCCCCCAGGCTTTTGTACTGCCTTGCTCTGCCCTGCCAGATGTGAGCCCCTGAATGTTGTGGCTCTTGTTGCCTCCAGAACCTGACGTGAGCAATGGGAGGGCGGGGAGGGGAGGCCTTGAGAGGAAGTCTCACAGTGCTGAGTCTCCGACACCAGAAGGGTTGTCTCCTCCGGCCCAAGCATGGTTGCCAAGTATTGATCTCAAAGGCGCTTCCTAGAAACAATAAGGGAAGGTCAGAAAATGGAAAAAGGTGCGTCTGCGAGTAAGATAACTTACGGAATTTAAAATGCCAATAATAATGAAAGCTTCCAAAGCCAAAGCCCCAGAAATGAGGCATCTCAGGAGCAGTCTAGAAACCTGCTTTTGAGGTTTGTCCCGGAAGTCTGGGTGAGATTCAGCTGGGTTTGAAAATAGACTCTGAGGGGGAGAAGGGTGATGAAATGATCCTCTCGCAGAACGGCCCCGAGGGACCGGGCTTCACCCGCAACAGTGGCCGAGTGTTGCAGCAGGCATTCCCGAATTCCTCCCGCTCCCTGAGCGGCCCCAGGAGGCAGCCACGCGGCTGGAACTCTATCTCCCCTTCCCCTCCCCCCTCAGAGCTCATCTGGATTCACTCAGACAAGCCACTTACTTACTTAATAGTTGTTAATCCTCACCCTAGGATATTTTCCCATTGATTTTGAGCGGGAGTAGAGGAAAGGGGAGGGAGAGAAACATCAAGGTGAAAGACATCCATTGGTTGACTCCAGCACACACCCAACCAGGGCCCCGGATGGAGCCTGCAACCAAGGCATGTGCCCTTGACTGCAATCGAACCCGGGACCCTTCAGTCCCTGGGCCGACGCGCTATCCACTGAGCCAAACTGGCTAGGACTCAGAAAAGCAATTCAGTCCTGGCCTCTTGACTCAGACTCTTGGTGGAATAATCGAGTTGTAGCTCCTGTAAGATGTGAATATGTAAATACAGTGAGTGATAACACTGACCGGGAGCCACACACTGCCAGGGCCGTACTTGCTTCCTCATTGACTAGAGTCTAGTCACTAGACAGTGCTGCTTCCTCGGCTCCTCTTCCCTTTACTGTTATCACATGCCTTCTCTCTCTCTCTTTCTTCACCTGTGGATTGGACAGGAAGGCTGAGTCCATTCCAGAAAGATTCATGGTTTCTTTTATGCCACAGGAAGGTCCAGAGCACAGACTCCGGACAAGGCAACACCTTCCTTTGTTCATTCATCCCACAAACCTCCCAGCAGTGGGAAGGTGTCCTCCCACCCTCCCTTGTATCTGCCCACAGGGCCTCGCCTGGTGCCATGACCCGGCCTCTCTCTGCTTCCCTCGCAGGGCCCTGGCCGCCAGCCTGAGTGTCTGTCTACCTCACCTCTCAGCCGGGACCCCAGCCCCACCAGAACCTTCAGGTCCAGAGACTCCGGCCCCTGCTGTGCTGGTGCCCTCTGCAGACCTTCCCGCCAGGAAAGATAAACAAGCCCCAAGGCAATGTTGCCCATTGGACTTTCGGACCAGGTGACCTGTTCTTGCCCCACAGCCTCACGAACCTGGGGCTTCAAGAAAAGAAAAGAAAACATCCCCAACAAACAGATGCAGCCGCCCTGGCGAGGGTGAGGCTGCGCGGCAAGCTCCGGGGAGAAGAGCCAGGCTTTGGGGGAGGGCGCAGGCCGCCGGGTTCTGTACGAGGTTCTGTCCTCGTTGATAAACCCAAGCGTGCTTCACAGCGGGGCCCACAGAACAGCTGTGCAATCGATGGAGGGATTCTCCCTGCCCTGGTGGCGCTGGTTCTGATGTTAGAATTCAGGGTTTGCTCATTCATTTCATCATCAAGGAAATGGGCTCTCCCTGGGGCCTGCGCCCAGGCGTTTTTCCCTCAGGAGCTGCTTTGCCACCTGGTGCCTGAGGCTCACTAACTGGAGAGAGGCTTTCCTGGGCGTCCCTGAGGCGCTCTGTCACGACAGTGACACTCCTGTCACGCACTCGGTGTTTCTAGAAATGCAGGGCCCGTCCCTGGGGAGCTCCCAGGGCCCCGCTCAGCGTGGCCTCGCTCAGGGCCCAGCCTCGCTGGTGCCGGGGGGAGACGGGCATTCCGCGACGTCCACCCGCCTCCGAAGGCTGCGCCCGCGCTGAGCTGGCCTGCCCGCTGCCCAGAGAGAACCACGCAGGGGCCTCAAATGCTTCCCATCACACACAGCTCTAGGGTTGCAGATGCCAAGCAAGGATTTGGTCAGACGGCTCAGAGGGATGCACCATGAGCCTAAAAAGTAAAAAAGAAAAAGAAAACAATGGAAAACTCAACCTGCCGCCAGCATCTTCCCAACCCTGCTGTGGCCTGTGGGTGTGAGACAGAAATCAATCAGCGGGGGCACCTCTGCCTCTCACCTGGGCCCTCGCCCGTCTCAGTCTGGAGTCTGGCCCTCCGCCCTGCGTAGCACTTAACCTTGTGAGGTGGTTTCACAGCCCACAGGCCCAGACCAGAGTGGGTCCCTGGCGTGGGATGGGGTGGAGATGGAGTGGGGGTGGGCAGCTGCTGGCAGAGGTCCCAGGCAGGCGCTGGGTGAGCCACAGGTGCTCTTCCTCTCTCCTCTGCCCTCTGCCCCGCGCCCATGAGCGTTGCCCCCAGCCAGCTTTGTCACTTTTCCCGTGAGCCCCATGAGCCTACTCGCCCCATCGGAGGTCAGAGCAGTTGACCGACGCGCTGTTCTCTGTCCGCCAGCGGGTTGGTGTCCTGGTTCCTGACCTGGAGGAGAAACAGGCAGACCCAGGAGCAGGACGTCCTTTGGGGACAGTTGAGAAAGTCTTCTGTGGGGAGGGTGGGCCTTCTGATTCCAGAGGGAACTTGTTCTGCTTCGTAGGGGATTGCAGGTGCGGCGGAAGGCCCAGGCCCGCCAGACAGAGCAGCCCAAGCACGGTCTGAACGTGAGAGTGAGGGATGTTCCGAGGCAGAAGCTGCAGCCCTGGCCCACCACCCCTGTGTAGTACTTATCTTGCAAGGTGATGGTCATACACAGGCCTGTGTTCGCCCCTCGGGCTGACAGGCCATGTGAAGGGGGACCGGAAATCACAGCATTGTCTGCTGCCTCAGCAAATGTCAGGAGCTTTATCTTCCTCTCCTCCCACACACACGCCTTCCTAATGACGTGGGCTTTCCGTTCGCATGGTTTGGCCCATCACTCACACTCCAGACCGACCGGTGTTGAGTTGCTTTTGTTCATATTTACCAAGTCCCCTCTTCCTGCCGAAAAGGCCTCTGCGTGTTCCTGGACTCGGAATCCCAGGGAGGTTGGGAGGGGAAGTAGTTTCCAGAAGAACAGCCCGTCTTTCTGCTCACGCCCCCGCAGAAGGTTGGGACTTGGAAGCCGTGTTGAGCTCCCCTGGACTTCCGCGCTGCGGTTCCCTTTTACCTCCAGGACCCGGTCCTCCTGGCCCTGCAGCGGGAAACTCCATTGTGAGTTGCCAATAGCTAGACCTCCTGATCTCAGTGGCCCCGGGACTTGAGCTCACCCCCAGCGGCTGTGGTCTGAGGTGCTGAGTGGGGGCGTGGGGACCTGCAGCCAGGTTTGCTTGCAGTCATGTGGATGTGAAGCATTTTGTTATCTGGGGTGGAAAATTGAAATGATCAAGTCTTTTTTTTTCTTCTTCACTTAGAAAAGCAAATATTATGTTTTGTAATGGACGCCTCTCAGCAAAACCCGAAGGGTCACTCATGGAGGGTGGGGGGGACCCAACCTGAGTCAGAGGAGCGGGCCAGCCAGCCATCTGTAAACAAAAGTGGCCCTAATGACCCCTAATGGCCCCAAATGGATAAGACTCGATGGCTTCCAGGGAAGACCAGGCCGGTTCCCTCATGCTCACCACGCTGCTGTTCTATAGTCTCACTGAGTAGGTTTTTGTACATAAAAAAAAAAAAATAAAAATAAAAAAATAGGAATGCCACAAAATAATGACGTCTTTAAAAATAGTAAAGCCTTAAGTACACAGAAGTGAGGAAACTTAGCTTGAGTCAGGGACCGTCACAGTGTCTTCGTGGAATTACGACTGCAGTTCCTAAGGTGGCCGGGCCTGGGAGGGGTTCACCCTTCACGTTGTGCCAGGGGCTGACCAGTCAGATCCTCAGCCTGACAAACAAGATCCGGTGGATCCACAGACAGTCCCGATCACATCTTCCCGCCTTCCGCAGCTGCCACCCCCGTGCTCCGCTGACCGTGACATTTGTATCACCCGGCGTTAGAGGAGTCCCTTAAAATGACCGTGATGTCTCCATCGTAAACAACCACCATTATACTTGCACTCAATCTCTGTGTATGACATCCACCTAAGTGAATGTTTTCTTATGTTTTCAGGCCTACAATACTGAGTGCATGTAAATAAGGAAAACATTTGATAAATATGGTAATTTAAGGTATAGCGTGTCATTTGATTTTTATTTTACTATCTCTTATTTAATTTTCCTGATGCTTCCCAGCGGGGCTTACGCCTGTGAGGCGGTGGAGACTTCTATGTATAACTCACCTTCACAGGCCTGTGTCTTGCGTGGACACGAAGATATGCCCCACCCGGAGAAGCACACAGCTCCACAGGTGCCGCCACTGGACTCCAGTTGACCCTCCTTTTCTCCTTAATTATGATTTACTGTGATGATTTAATGAAGTAGAAACACAGCACTTATGTGCCATATGTTTTGTTTTGTTTTCATTATAGTTTGTAAGAAAATAAAGTTTATCCTGGTATCTAACAAAAGATGGTTTGTGTTTTTATTAGATGAAGTTGTGCAGAAGTTTTTTGGTTTTTTTTAAATATTTTTTTATTAAATTATTATTTTTGTACATATACCATTGCCCCCTCTCCCTTCCCAGAGTTTTGTGTCCATTGGTTGTACTTATATGCATGTATACAAGTCTTTCTGTTGATCTCTTATCTCCCCCAGATCTCCACAATCTCCCCGCTGTAATTTGACAGTCTACTTGTTGCTTTACTGTCTCTATATCTATCTTTTGGTTCTTCAGTTTATAATGTTCTTTATCATCCATAAATAAGTGAGGTCATATGGTATCTCTCTTTCATTGACTGGCTTGTTTCACTCAGCATGATGTTCTCCAATTCCATCTGGGTTGCTGCAAACGATGAGAATTTTTTCTTTTTTATGGCAGCATAATTGTGCAGAAGTTTTTAAAAAAAAAAAAAAAAAAAAAAAAAAAACCACAAGCCTAGCCCAGCCAGCATGGCTCAGTGGTTGAGTGTCCACCTATGAACCAGGAGGTAACGGTTCGATTCCTGCTCAGGGCATATGCCCTGGTTGTTGGCTCAATCCCTAGTGTGAGGTGTGTAAGAGGCAGCCAGTCAATGATTCTCTTTCATCATCGATGTTTCTAACTCTCTCTTTCTCCCTTCCTCTCTGAAATCAACAAAAATATATTTAAACAAAAAACCAAAGCCAAAATATTTATTCAAAATGGTAGCCAGTACCAATCCAGTGAAGTTCACAAATGTGGTAGTGAAAAATTGACCTCTGAGTTCATAACACGGTATGCTAGAACCACTCACGTGAGTATTTGAGCCTAAGCATCTTTGATCTCATGTTGATGGCCCTGCCTCAAGGCTACAACCATCACATTGTAACAGCCTGACCAATCGGACTCTGCCAGCTGCCTGGGCTGCTCCTGTGCAATGTGTAGCAGGGAACTTTCAGGACATCAGGACATAAAAGCCTCTAAAAATCACCCATTTGGCCGAAACCAGTTTGGCTCAGAGGATAGAGCGTCAGTCTGTGGACTGAAAGGTCCCAGGTTTGATTCTGGTCAAGGGCATGTACATTGGCAGCGGGCACATCCCCATAGGGAGTTTGCAAGAGCAGCTGGTCGATGTTTCTCTCTCATCGATGTTTCTAACTCCTTATCCCTCTCCCTTCCTCTCTCTAAAAAATCAATAAAATATATTTTTTTAAATAAATAAAAATAAAAATCACCCATTTGTCCACTTGTTGACTTATAACACATTTCAGTAACTTCAAAAAGGGTCCTGACGCCATCCTGGGAGGCTTGAGTCAAGAGCTTACTTGAAGGCGTGCTGTGCTATTAATACTTGGTTCCTCATAGAATAGAGATTGACAGTGTTAGAGTGTCATTGCCGAGAAGCAGTGTTCCCAGCCCTGCCAGCAGCCATGCCCCATCTTGATTCAGACCCATCAGGTCTGCTAGAACCCCAGCATCGATATTTTTTAAAGTCTTCCGCTGCACCCCAGGATTCTGACGTGCAGATGGATTTTGGTTGAGGTATTCCCACCAGCCTCATGGTGCTGCCTCTGGTGTCCCTTACCTCCTGGCCCACACATGCACCTGGAGTCCAGGGAACCTTAGTGAAGACTCCTTGCGGAGCAGCTGGCCCCTCTACAACTGCCCAGTGTAGTGTCCACCCCTTCTCACCATTCCACTTTATAGATGGCCCCAGTTCCCTCCAGGAGAATGTATAGATTTTTTTTCAGATCAGGAGTCATTTGAACTTCAAAGGATATTGTGATGAGAGTCATAAAGCAGATTGTTGTCTTGTTTATCCAAAAGATGGAGACAGAGATTGTTGTCATCTCTTTCCTAAAGTGATCCCATTCCTCTTCAAAAAACACTCATCAAATCTTAGGCCAAATCATGCACGACTTCAACAGAATTCCAAAAAGAATTTAATTTCCAGTGGTTCCCAAAGGACCCTTGCTACAAATAATGTTCTTGCTACGAATAATGTTCTCAGCTTTTCTTGGCATTTGCAAAGTGCCAGAGTTTTTAAAATAATAATAATAATAATAATAATAAATAACCTCAAGTTACCCCCTGGCCATCATAGAATTCCCTGAGCATTCCAGAAAAAAAAAAATGCTGGAGTATTTATGTTTGCTGTACTAGAAAGGGTCTCTCTCCAATAAAATCCAGACCTCTGTGTTTGTTCTCTTCTGCACACATCTGAGCTCGTGTTACACTCCAGCATGTGCATATAAACTAAATGGAGGCCACTTTGATTTATTAAATGGTTTATGTCAAGATAACTATTATCATTTGCTTTCCCTTCCATAAATGGAAATGCTTTTAATTGCTTTTTATTTTTCAAATAAAAAAAGCAGAGGTCATGGAAATGGAACTCAGAGTGAACTTCATCCCTGTGTAGTGGGTCCACCCAAGGCACCAATCTCTACACACTCAACTACACTGAGTGGCCAGATTATTATGATCTCTGAACGCATAATAATCTGCCTACTCAGTGTGTGTGTGTGTGTGTGTGTGTGTGTGTGTGTGTGTGTGTGTGTGTGTTAGAGGCCTGGTGCATGAATTCAGCCTGGCCAGGGGAAGGGAACATAGGTGGTTGGCCGGCCTACCTGCCAGTTGAACTCCTAGTTGAGGGGACAATTTGCATATTAGCCTTTTATTATTTAGGATATGCACTGAATGGCCAGATTATTATGCGTTCAGAGATCATAATCTGGCCACTCAGTGTATACAGACCCTGGAACTGAGGCCGCTGGCTCACAGGGTTCTCACAGCTAGAAAGTGGAGCTCCAGGCAGGAGCTGAGTCCCCTGGGCCCCTTTTCTGGACAACACCCCTGTTTAGCAGCAGCCACTGCTCTTGACCAGAACATGGACAGCTTGTTTCCATGTCCCTTTTGGCCACTAGGAAGGTTTCCCTAAGGCCAGGTCTGACCCCCTGGGCCTCCCAGTTTGACCATGGCTCCAGCGTTGGAGAACGTGTTTTACTAGCCGACTCCTGCCTATTCTCTCTGTGGCAAAGGAGAGGGCACAGGAGTTGGCTTTCTCTATGACTCTGGAAACCACTGCACAATACATCTTGGGAAACACAAGTCACTCGTGTCTTCAGATCTGAAAAGCAGATTTTTGAGCCGAAGAGCCAGCACAGAAGCAGGCCAGCCACACTCCAGAAGGTCTCCCTCTGCCCTCTGCACACCCAGGTCCTCAGAGTAGGGTAGCACTGGCTGCATGTTGACCACATTTTTCTGTCCATTGT